AAAAAAAAAAAAGAAAAACATTAAGATAATGTGAAATATGAAAGTAATTCAAGCAGCATACTTTGCATATCAAAACAGATAATTTCTATAGAGACTTGGTAGTAGGGGTGGAAGAAACCAGAATTATCTCCTTTCCTGATTCCTTCCCCTGCTGCATTGTTTCAACCCAATCACAAGTTTTTATTATTATTTCCAAGTACAGAAGAGAAATGAAGCAAAAGTTATCTGTGACATATTTTTTGGTTTAATCTCAAAGAATTAATGGAATTTCTCCACTCAAAAACTAGAATGCTGCTTGTCTTTGACTCACTATATTCAAGTACGGATGCTAAGTTCTAATTTAAATGATAGGTAATGAAATTCAAATCAATATAATAAGTGAAGTTTTAATTTGCTCATGTAAACATTAGGAAGGCTGAGTGATGTTTGTTGTATAATCATGTTCTGCAGAGAAAAGCTTTGGTCAAGGCAGTTTATAATTAGTTGTATGGCCAGAGAGACAGGGGGTTGGGGGAATGAGTTGGCTTATATGCCCCTTTCAGCCAAAAATCAGCAGCTAGGTTATTCTTTGGAATATAAAATATCTTTGAAAGAGAAGGTAACGAGGCCTTTTTTAAAAGATTTTCCTATATTTTATTAGTCTTTTTAAAAAGATATATATATATAATTGTATTTTAAATATTAAGGAAACCTCAGGAGTCTTTCTCATTGTAAATAACCAACTGTCGATGTGTTTCAATTAGATAGTGGATTGTCATAATAAGCTTATATTGAAATATTTTAATGTACAATTTGTTACAGTTTTAATTTATAAGGGCAAAGAAAGAATATATACAGATAAATATTACATCAGACTAGAGTGCTAAATAATCATTTTTACTGTTTTGCCTACTGACGGTAGCCATTGGATGGGAACATAGAAATGCTTGATTTCAATGTTCATGTAATATTAAAAGATAACTTGTTTTCTGATTCCATTCCAAGTTGGATTAATGTTAAGTAATTAACACATATTAAACAAAAAACAACCAAAAATTTTTCAAAATAATTACATTGATCTTGGCTAACTGTAAAATAATTAGGTTCTCAGCATAAAGAGGGCCACTGATTTCACTGGCTGCTTCCATAATATTCATACCTTATCATGGCAACTAAGCAGCATGTTTTACACATGTGTAAAAATTTAAACTATGAACATAATGAAAAAAATATGTAATTTAGCAGATAGAGATATTAACAGGCACTGCAGGATAAAATGACATTTGATGTCATTATTTTCTAAAGTTTCTAAGTGCTTTCAAGCCTACAGTCACATTATTTACTTGAAAGGATCTTTCCCTTGAACAAGTAATATAAATATTAGTATACATAACATTAATGATTTTGGTCTATGTGATTATCACATCCTCAGTGTGCACAGGAAGAAACTGAGCTTCAGAGAGTAACAACATTCAGGACTGAAACAAAACAAGCTTTCATCCCATTTATTTTTATTAAACTATTATTCTATTCATAACATAATGTGTCCATCTTCATAGAAAATCAGTTAACTCTGATGGTGTAGTCTATTTTTGACTATTCTATTCCACTGATTTCTGTCTATCCTTATTCTCACATCATTCTGCTCAATTTCGGCAGCTGTGCTATAACTCTTGAAATCGGGTAAAGTCTGGGGCACCTGTGTGGTTCAGGCTGTTAGCATCTGACTCTTGGTTTCGGCTCAGGTCATGATCTCAGGGGTGTGCGACTGAGGCCCACATTGGCTCTGAGCTCAGCTCAGAGTCTACTTGAGGTTCTTTCTCTCCACCCCACCTCCCCCCCGCCCCGTCCCTCTCCCTGCTCACTCACATGTGTGCATGTGCTCTCTCTCTCTCTTTCTAAAATAAAAAAAATCTTTTTTTAAAAAAAGGAAATCAGATAAAGTCCTCCAAATTTGCTCTTTTATTCAGAATTGTTTTAGCCATCCTAGGTCCTTTGTATTGCATATCATTTTTAGAGTTGACTAATATATAAACAAAAATGTGCTGGAATTTGGTATAGGATAAAATTTCCAGATCCATTTGGGGAGAATTTACATCTCAACTAAAGTGCACCTTTCAATCTATTGTTTTATATCTCTGTTCATTAAAGTCTTCTTTGTTTGCCAATGAATTTTTAACAATGTTTTATAGATTTCATTGTAAATGTTATGTACTTTTTTATTTAAATCCATCACTAAGAATTTCATGTTCCATTACTTTAAATGAAGTTGTCTTTTTAAGAATTTTGTCTAATTTTCTATTTGTTCATTGCAAGCATGTGTGTAAATATTTACATTGTCCTTTTATCCAGTGAGATTTCTAAAGTCATCTGCAAGTTCCTAAAATTTTTCATATATATAATTGGGTTTTCTCCCAGTCATGTGGATGCTCTGGGAGATGTTCCATTTACAAATCCTTACAATTATTTTCTCTAACTTATGGAATTTCACCAAATGCATGCAGTTTTGTTGTTCACTGACAAACTCAAAGGGACTCTTGTTCTGACTTTTTAGCTTTTTCTCTACATATGTCCATACTCTCCCACATATTATGCCCCAAAACCCATTGACCTCAGTCTCCTAATCTCCAATCTCCATATTCTCTACCAGGGAGACCACCATCCTGTGCTTGGGCTCCCCTCCTTTAGCTATGGTTCAGAAGTGCCTTCATGCAGAAAGCTGGGGAGACTGGACTCACCTCACATGTTTCCCTTCTCTAAGGGATCACAATCCTGCACTGCCTTTTTTTTTTTTTTTTTGACAGAGAGAGCGAGAGAGGGAACACAAGCAGGGGGAGCAGGAGAGGGAGAAGCAGGCTTCCCGCCGAGCAGGGAGCCTGATGTGGGGCTCGATCCCAGGACCCTGGGATCATGACCTGAGCCGAAGGCAGACGCCTAACGACTGAGCCACCCAGGTGCCCCCTGCACTGCCTTTTGATCCATGTCTGCCAACAGTTGCTTCATATATTTTGTCTAATTTTCTAATCATTTATATTATGAGAGAAAGTTCTGTTTCAGCGCTTCCATCATAGCTGAAGATAGAATTGTCTCTTTAGGTGATTTTTTAAAAGCCTAGCAATCCTTTTTATATATGCTAGTTATATCCTTAACAGTAATTTACTATACACAACACTCATATATTCAAACAATAAGTGGCTCTTGCAGATGTAATAAGGAGATGGAAGCCAGAGACTCATATTTATATGCTAGGTAGTAATGATGTTTAGAAGATACTGTAAGCAAGGAGGTCACTGAAGAATGAAATAATTATATTTGATTAATTTCTAAAGAAAAGGGTAATTTTTATATGATGGTGAAATAAAAGAAACAGGTATGTATCGTGGGAAAGTGGCCAGCTGATGAAAATGTTAGGCTGCTAAAGGAGAAAGAATTACAAAGAATGAGGCAACCAGACCTCTAGCCAAGGTGCTGAACCTGAGTGCTATTCAACTCAACACAAAAGCATACTCGGCCCAGTATGGATGAGAAGGAGGTATAATGAATGGAAAATGACCAGGCAATCACCAAAACCAGGGGCCCACCAGAGGACCACTGAACTGCATAATCTCTTTTAGTAACATTTCCAGCACTTGTATGGAGAAGAAAGAAGGAAATAAGTGCTCAAGTTCAAAGAAATATATTCACATCAATCCTTTTCTGTCAGCTCTGGAATATACAAAAACAAAACAAAACAAAACAAAACAAAAAAACACCTCACAGAGTCACACAGGGGAGAAGTTCTCTCTTTTCACCACAGTGAGATTTTCCGACAGGCCAAGAGCATCATGATGCCAAGGCTATTTTGTAAAAGCTGTTTGGGAAAGCATTATCAAAGTGAGAATGCAGAGCTGTCTGTTTTGCAAAAAGCAAGACACCTAGTGTTACTAACTAAAGATACCATCTCTATAGACTACCATTTAATTCAACTAGCTCTAATAACATGCCATGGGGAAATTTGGGACTAGACCCTGGGAAGATAAAGACCATTCAGATTCTTCTATCCCTTAAGTAGTTCACAATTCAGGAGAATTAAACAGACATAAAAGCATTTAAAATTTTAACCAGCAATTATCTGGAATTTATCTCAGTGAGATGAGATAAAACCACATTATAGTTTGTAAAATTCAGGGGGAAATGTTTTAGTAGGATTAAAGCAAAATAAAACTGTCCCATAAAACTTACCAACAATATAATATGATATACTTTTAAACATTATAAATTAGTAAAAATATGAAAAGTTGGGCTTGGTAAAGTCTACATGGCTCAGTAAGGTTCATATTTTCTTTTCTACAATATTCTAAGGCCCTAAAGAGAATGACTTAATTTTCATATATATATTTCTGCTCTCTGATGCAGTTTAGAATTTTCTAATTAGTAGCTACTGAAAGCCTCAAAGTGGATTCTCAGATTCATTATTTTGACAGGAGATAGCTATAAGATCACTATACTGATAAAGGGAAGACTAAGTCAATATGACTGTTTCTTTCCTGCCAACTCATAGCTGCCCAGGAGGCTGAATTATACCCACTTCACTGCAGATATAAAATCAGTGAACTTAAAGGTTTTTCTTCTTTATTATAGAGAAAAATATAGGATAACAAATGGGGCTTAATATAATTTGTAATAACTGATATGAAAAATGAAAAATAGTAGTTGAACATGAATGCCGAAAATGTGAAAAGAATATTCCTTGGAATGTTCAAATAGTTCTAACTTCTTTTCCTAAAATTATCAAATCTATAATTAGATCTAATAACCCTAAACTTTTTTAAAAAGTTAAAGGAGCCTAAAGGCTCCTGGGTGATAAGTGTCTCTAGAAACCTACCTCTCATACATTTTTCTTCGCACTCTTCCAGACTTCCAAATCGATTCTGATTTCCTTCACATCCCCCATACATAAATTCTTCACACTGTTGAGTGTGAATGTTGAAAAAAAATTGTGTAATCATTGCTCTGCATGGGCCATTATCCGCTTTCAAAGCACAAAATGAATGTAAAAGTTTCAGTGGTGGCAACTCAACATCTACAAGGTAAAAATAAAAGATATAGAACCTTTCATCCACATAGTAATAGTGTTCTTTATTTCCTTTTCAGTACGTCGTAATTTTTCTTAAAAAGCACAACAGAAATAACACAGGCTGAAGAAAACATGACAAGTTATTAAAAATTATCAAAAAGGTAAATAAAGTTTATAAACACACCAAATGAAACAGATTTTATCAACAATTAAACTTTAGGAGTAGAATAATTTTCTAGACTCGCTTTAGGGATTTGGCTTAAACATACACCAGTTGACCAGTATGGAAATGCATAGTCGTTGTACGGTAACCAATGTGTTGACGTTACGAGTAAGTAAAGATGTCTTTTTAAATTCAGCAGTTTTTAAGGGCAGACATTAATGGACAGCTCTTTGATTTGCTCTCCCTAATCCACAGTTGTGTCATTTTTTGCACATAAACAACTTTTTAAAAGCAGCAGTACATACATATTCATATGTACACACACACACACACACACACACATACATCACACTGTATTAAGCCATTCCCAAATAATGGAAACGTTGGTGTTTGGTATTACAAATACATATATATCATGGTCCATTCTTTTACTTACCATGGTTTGTTTTTAACAATGTTGAGAAAACTTAATGTTGTCTGTATTTTAAAATAGAATGAGGCAATTCTTTTGATCTTGAGTGAGAATTTTTTTCCCTCAATATTCAATCACTTATTTTAGTCACAGAGGAATTTCATATCTTGAGAAGGGACTTGTATATACAGAAAACTCAAAAATTTTAAATTTTATGAGGTCTAATATTAATAGAGGCTTAATTTTAAGTAAGTTGCATTTGCTTATAGAATCTATCAGTAAGATAGACACTGAAAATTGTGGTTGGTACTATCAAAATCATAAAGAACAAATAATGTCATTAATACTCCTTGAGTATTGTCTATAATGTATTTTCCAAGACTTTCAGTATTCACTATGATCACTTCTGAGGGGCCTAAGCCAATTTGCCCTTTAGAGGGCAGCAGTATGCTGCTAAATTAAAACAATCTGATTAAGTTTAGGTATCTTCCAAGAAAGGGTTTTAATGCACTATAAAATAACTTACTTTGAAAAAAGATGAAAGGATGTCATCATTTAAAAATATATAAAACCTTTTAAAAGCATTAAATAAAAGAACAAGTGTGAATATATAACCATCTAGAAGGAAATCAATTTTGAATGTCCTGTGGTTTCAAAACTTCTGTGAATTTTTTGAAAGAGAAGATATACATATCATAAAAGTTGGATTAGATAATTTTATCAAATGTCTTCTACCTTTTGTTACCTTAATGATCTATATCGAATTAATGTCAAGTAGTAGCCACATTTCAGTAGTGTTATTTTATCTTTATGGTAAAATAATTGGAATGTTATTTTTTATTTTCTATATGGGTCTAAAATGATAAGTAAACCCTGAAATCTTAGAAGGGTTAAAAATACCGCTTTCTGTCCGTAAATTATTATTATGCTGTTTCATTCATTTGACAGTAATTATTTATGAACATGTGAATTTTATCTCAACCACTCTTCCACTTTTAAACTTAAAATCAAACTTCAATTTATAAAATGCCATATCACCATTTTGATTTCTTTGATAACTGAATTGACAATTTTTTTCAATTGAAATAAGTTGAGCTTACAGAAATGATATAACAGTAAAATTTCTGACCCAAATTTGATAAGATAGAATAACATAAAACAGATTTATTTATTATGACACACAGACCTTCATCTACAAAAGACATGGATATTTTTAGCACCAAACACAATTTTCATGAATTGGCTAGTTCTCAAGTTAGCTAATTATTACTGGTCAAACCTTTAAGGAATGTTGAATTTTATGCACCTGTGCGGGTTATGTACAATCAAAAAATATATCATTTGGATGTTGATCTATGTGATTTTTTAAAATAATTTTTCCACCAATTATATAGTGTCCCTAAAGCCAATCAATCTCTATAATATATATGTAAATAGTTTACCAAAATGAGTAAACAACTATTCATTGACATATGTAAATTATTCTCATTTCTTTGCTTTTTAATTATGTACCTAATATTTTATGCTGATGAACTTATTTGAATATGATTGGCTTTAAAATGTCTCTCAAGGCATATCAAAAGTTTCTGGCACCTAATGATATGGATACTTCAGAATCATAATTTTCCTTAAATGTTCCTGGACTTCCCTAGAATTCTTAATTTTCTTAAATTACATACACAAAAACTTTTCTCTACATAAATTCATTATATATTTAATATATATTATAGCACTTATATATACATTATATATAAAATAGCATTTTAGAAAGTTGGTAAAAATATCTTCCATAGACAAATAGGTGAATATAAACAAAAAAGTGATTTATGAAAAAACATGTGTTTTCGATTCATCACTGAAATTACAATTGTCGGTTTGAAATAAAAAATAACTAAAAACCTTTTCTGAGTAGTAGTATACTTGTGATAATTATAAATGCTGCTTATATTCTCTTAAAGATTTAGAATACTGTCACTGACATTCTGACTTGTTAAGAGTTGTGAGAAACTAGAAGACTTTGCATCTAAGACCCTAAGCAGTGCATTTTACTGAGAACAGACCCACGACAAGCATCATTGCATTAGCACAATACGTTTGTACACTCTAGACACATTTTTATGCAACCGATAAAAATTTGACCTGTCAGTTCTATAAGTATCTGATCTTAGAATCAGATCTCAGAATCTCAGAGGTCACATATATAATTTTGAGAAAGGAGCTAGGAATAATAATATTCTGATATTCTGAATCTTATGGCTATATACCATTACTTCAGAAATTCCTATAGCACTCCTTAGATAATATGATGGTCCCTGATTCCCATATTAATGTGACTTCAGATCTTTATAGACACAGTACCTCAGACAGGAGCCTGTAGTCTAATACTCTACCTGTAGAACCCAGGGGGCTTTATCTAATACCTGAGTTGCTATAGATATTTAGGAGAACTAGTTCTTATAAATAGTAATTTACATAAGGTTCTTTTTCATTGATGATGCCTCTGATTTCGACTTTTGATATATTTGATAGTCCTTTTCATCATGCCAAACTTTTATTTTACATTTTCTCCATTAAGCATATACCACACCGAGTTCAACTTGCTATTTAGGAATTGTGCCACAAGGTGGTGGCCATCAGCCACAGAAATGAAAGCTGGTTCCCCGTATTTGTCCTTGTAGTAGTTAATACTAGCTAATGTTGTTTACTAATTACTGTGCTCCAGACATTTTGTAATTACATTATTTAGTAATCACAACAATCTTCTTAATGAGGTATTCTCTCCATTTACAACTTATAAAACAGCACTGTAGAAATTAATTGCTCTGTTCCCACCCTAAGTTTTATACGCCACATAGTTTTATACCAGATGTCTCACACATTCTTAATAATTGAGTGATATTGTCACAGTCTGTATGACTGAGATTCCTAGATTGGCATTTGGGTAAAGCACATAGATTTAATTCTAAAATTTACACTCAATACATTTTTTTCTCAAATTCACCTTATAAAAACTAAAAATGTTTCAGCTATGAAAGTAGGTGATTTTATAGCAATTTCCCAAGTGAAACACTAAGAACTAATTTTAAACTATATTTTATTAATTTATTATCAAATTATTCATCTTTACTGTTCACATTTTAGTGTCCTTCTTAGCTGAATCATATATTAGAATATTCAGCTTATGACCCACCCTTGGCAGAGCATCCCTGAAGTGGGGGAGTGATGAGGTGTGGTCTCTCAGATGTAGTACCATGCCACTCCACCCAAAAGGGATGGAAGTCTGTCTTGGTTTTCATTTTTTACCTTGGATAAATCTTTTTGAAAGTTAACAATTGTGTGTTGATCATGGGTCAGGCACTGTGGGGTCATGGCAGATATGATAGTAAATTAGGTGGCAGTAGCCCCGCCCCTTCCCTGTCATGTAGCATGCAGACACTGAAGATTTTTTTTTTTTTTTTAAATTTTATTTATTTATTCATGAGAGACAGAGAGAGAGAGAGAGGCAGAGGGAGAAGCAGGCTCCCAAGGAGCAGGGAGCCCGATGCGGGACTTGATCCCAGGACCCTGAGATCATGACCTGAGCCGAAGGCAGACGCTTAACCATCTGAGCCACCCAGGCGCCCCAGACACTGAAGATTTATAAACATTCAAGAAGTTCAAGGTGCTGTGTTTGTGCATAATAAGATAGCTAAGCTTGTCTGGAGAGTCAGGGATAGCTTTCCTGAGACTTGAAACGGAGACTGAAGGAAAGTGTTAGTGATAAGGATCTGCCTAACCCCATGTAACTAGAAAACATATGCAGGGCAGTGTAATAGGGAATTTAATCTGATGCAGCCAGATGAACAGAATTATGGTTTTTATTGTATCATTTTTGTAATTGATTTCTTGCATTTTATGTCTCACAATCTGAGGATTACAATCTCACTCTCCCCTCCCCCTGTCCTGGGACGTCGGATAGTAGGCTCATGATAATATTTGGGGACATGTCATGTCCCCGACTGTTAGAGTCCTCATTCTCCTGGAACTTGTTTGGGAACCAAGAGCTTTAAGGTAACTTACTATTTAAGAGTCTACATGCTGTTTGATTCTCTCATGAAAAGATTTGATTTCTCTGGCAGGGAAGAACATAGCCATACACTCTTTGCCTTCTCCGTGCCGAAAAATGTGCCAGGTGCTTTTATGCAGTTTATATAACAACCATATGAACATAGTTATTTGCATCACTTACATATCGATTAAGACACTGGGAGTCAGAGAGTTTACCTAACTCATCTAATTTTGCAAAGCTACTGTGTGGCAAACCCCACATGCAAACTTAGATCTGCCTGATTGTACATCTTACGAAAGACACTTAGCTTTCTCTAAATGCTCCCTGCTAATCTTCTCTCTCTCACTCTAAAGGAATTTTAAAAAAGAGCTTATCACTACTGTTTTTTATTATAAAAAATTTTATTATATTTCATCCTCCCTGCTGGTTAGACTGATTAAGAAAAAGCCTACTATTGCCTTGTGAGAAAAATGATAAGATCGTGTATGTTTTCCTCTAAGATGATAGTACACTATTCGATGAAATGGTATACTTCTATAAAAAGATGGCATGACCTTGGCACAGTGTGATAAATGGTATCTTCAAAACTGAATTGATTCTGATGTGGGATCATGCTATTTCAAGACTGAAAACAAAACAAAACCAAAAAACCCCGAAACTGGTTAAGACTGTGCAGCCAGTCAGTTAGGTGATCTTCAAGTCTAGCTATCAGATAAAAAATGTTTTCTTAGCTGGCTTTGCTTGTTCTGAATTTATCAAGAGATTTTAAACTCCAGCTTAATTATTAATGGGTTAACTCTGGTTTCTTGGCTGACTGCATCAGCAGCAACAATGTCAGGAAACTTCTGATTACCTGGCATGCATTTTCTCAGCCTAACTGAGGGACATCAGATTAGGTGAATATTGGGGATCCTTTCTCCTCCCACTTTCCAAGATGGGTTGCCTACTTTTTCTCTGTGGGGACTTTATTCTCTACATTTCTTCTCTTCTCAGCTTCCAGAATATTAGAAACCATCTCCTTTGATAAATGAGACAAATGAAGAATTAGAGCTTATTTCATAATGCCCAAATTCTCATTTTATAAGGCATGTTATAGTGTTTACTTTGTTAGTGTTTCATCTTTAGGAAGTTTTTATAACAATATTTTTTCCAGTGACAATTTAATAGTCTCCCCTGTGAAACTGTGAGATTCTTCAGAACTTGGTCTGAGTCATCACTGTTTCCCTAGTACCTACCAATTTCAAGCACATAAGATATATTTATTCAATCTTTATCAAAGGGAAGTACATTGAACAAAATCCCTTTCAAGGGTGCTTAGATACATGAAATAAGAATGTATTTATGGAAGTCTTTGGTACACCATCAACATACATACCAATAGAAGCTATCACTTTGTTCATATTGTCACACCATTACCAGTGACTTGAGATTTCTATCAATAATTTACTAATTTTCCACAAAATAGTACTTTTAAGAAAGAAATATATAGTAACAATCACTGTACATTCTTCTCCTTGTTCTATTGCTGATTGTTAATATTTTATTTTTAGATACGGAGCTTTATGAGATTAGAACTAACTTGTATTAGGCCAGATCTCCTAATGTCCTGTTTTACTAGATTCTCACACTGGACTCATCTGGGAAGTTCTTGAGAATAAGGCAAAAAAGCAGAGAATATCTATAGTTTCCTTTCCCTTCTCACACTTTTCCCAGCCAAAGGATGGCATCAAGGTTCACGGCTGTTTCTACAACACTTTGTTCCTTGCAATCGTCCAGAGATACTTCAATGTTTAATCTTATCACCTGGAAAAAAAAAAGAAGTCTTCCTTTCTAAAGTGACTTTTTTTTGGTCTAAATTTTTTTGGGGGGGGAACAAATTACATGTAAGACATGTAAGTCACTAATGTAAAAGCTAATTTTCCCACACAATGGAGAAAAATATATTACATTTTGGGATTAAAATTGAGATCTTTAGCCGAAAAATATGAATCCTTCTAATATTTTACCTGTAATATCTGTATATTCTTCAGCTTCAAGGACAGCACTAAGAAGGGCAGAGGCACAATTAAGCAGCAGATACACAGACACCCAAAAAATCTGTTCTTTCTTCATTGTATAAATCATCTCTGAAATACAGAACCCAGATATATTTAATTAAGAGTTAATGTCAAATTATCTATAGACTAGCAGGAATCTTATGCACGCCTCCAAATGTAAATTTCTATGACACTTAATCTGTACTGTCTGCAAATTCCATGAGTCCTATTTAAAACGTGCATGTAGCATTTAATATTGTAGACACACATATGTTCAGTGCATATGTCTAATAATATTCAAGTATGCAGCTCATGTTTCAACCTTGAAAATACAAATTAAAATGGCAACAATTGATCATCATGCCTAACTATGTATTAAGATCCATTTTCATATACAGTTCTATTTGCACATCTTTCTCACAGCTATTCTTCTTTCTCAGTCAGAATTATATTTTAATATCTCTGGCATTTTTCTATTATTTCATTAATGCAACTTTCAATTCCTGATTTCTCTTTCCCATGGCTTCAGTCCTTCTCTTCAAAAAGAAAGACATTTTCCAAATTTTTGTCTTTGTTTCCTATAAAATATATTTGTTTGTATAACCAATTTCTTAACCAGATTTTCTATGAGATAGCAGACAGAACTGCTGAAAAAAGAAATCTTTAGCATTCTAGCAAGTCCTTTACCCCAGTCTTCCACCCTCAATTTAGGCAGGTATCTGATTCAAAAGAGTTTCATAGAAAAGTGACTTTAAGTGATAAACCAACATATTTACACTCTAAGGGAAACAGATTTCAGAAGGAGAGTGAGACTTCCTCTTTCAAAATGATTTAGAGTTCCACAGTAAAAAATAATGGAAAAACCACACTGAAATTTTTTTAAGGCTCTTTCTACTTTGGATTCAAGGATGGGTGTTCATATAGCATAGGAAGAGAAAAGGAAGGAACATATGCACATGTTCAGCCACTGATGTTATAAGTCAGGAATGAAAGAGAAATCTTATCAGTAAGGATTCACAAATGCAAGAACAGATATTCCATCTAAAATAATTTAGAGAATTCTCTGTTTACTCCTATAATGAATCATAGCTGCCATATACACCGTTAAGGTATATGTAGTTTTATAATAAATAATAAAGTAATGCCATTTTGCTTTAAGCTTCATTAAAATCACTAGTGAAATGTACAACCTATTTTTTCACAACACTTTGTAAATGTTAACATGTATTTGATTTTTCTGTCAGTAGCCGTGTTATATACCTCTGTGTCATATCATTAACTATTTGAATCCACAAGTATATTTGTATATATATGAATGCATATATATGTATATATATATATGTATATAATTTTGAAGAGTCGATCACCTAAACTTCTAGTCTTTATCTTATTTTTGAAAATGTAGTTTTTGGGGTGCCTGGGTGGTTCAGTCAGTTAAGTGTCTGCCTTTGGCTAGGGCCCTGATCCCAGGGTCCTGGGATCGAGCGGAGCGTTGGGCTCCCTGCTCAGCGGGGAGTCTGCTTCTCCCTCTCCCTCTGCCCCTCTCTCTTCTCCTGCTCTTTCTCTCTTTCAAAAAAATAAATGAAATCTTAAAAAAAAAAAAAGAAAAGAAAATGTATTTTTTGGGGCGCCTGGGTGGCTCAGTCATTAAGAGTCTGCCTTCGGCTCAGGTCATGATCCCAGGGTCCTGGGATCCAGCCCCGCATCAGGTCCCCTGCTCCGCGGGAAGCCTGCTTCCTCTCCCACTCCGCCCGCTTGTGTTCCCTCTCTCACTGTGTCTCTGTCTGCCAAATAAATAAATAAAATCTTTAAAAAAAAAAAAAGAAAATGTATTTTTCAAGGACTCTTCTATTTCCATTAGTTTCTTTGAGATATATGGCCCTGTGATATTTTGAGTGCAAAATATAGCTTATTTTTCTATCCCATCGTTTAGGGAACAGGCTGAAGTTGGGTGCCTAAAGACCTTGATGAGAATTTGGGCTGTAAACCCACCAAGTTCCTTTCTTTAAAACTATTGGCCTACAGTGTTGCCTAATTTTAGTAGTTTTAGACTTTCCTTGGTTGCAAGGATCAGAAGCCAGCTCAGACAGTTTGCTTATTCATTCTAGAGAAGGTGGAACAAGCTAGGATTAGAAAGGGAGGTTTGTGGTTGGATCTAAGAGTCGGGGAGCTGAATGCCGTTAGAAGTCTCTCATAGCTATTGCACTCCTTAACAAGTGTTACTCTCCTTCAGTGCAGCCCAGCTTTCTCTATGTAGGAGGATGCATAGCACTGATATTTCCAGGGTTTTAAAGCTTAAAAGATCCTTCCATCAAAACAGTATGACTGCTTCTCTTTATGACTAGTGTCAAATAGCTTGAAAATAGCACTGATGGTTTCAATTTGTAGGAAATGCCCCCTTCACTTTTGGACCAATACATTTGAGGTGAAAAGCTGTTAGGAGACTAGCATAGATTTGGAGGAGCTGAAATGGACTTTCTTAGGGTTGGGGAATGGGATAATGTGGTAACATTGCAAATCTCTACGTAAGTATACGGTTTTAGGATGGAGTGGACAAGTGTGGCTCCCAGGAGGAGTGGATTGTTGCTTCCAGAAAAAGGAAGGATGTCGGGCAGATAAAACGATGAGTATGCACTGTAGCAACCCAGAGCTAATTAATGGCTGATCCAGAACTTGAATTCAAGTTAGAATAACCTCCCAGAGTGAAAGACTGATTTTGGCACATCACTGAAAAAACAGTACAACTTCTTATGATACTGATAAAACTGTAATCTGTAGAGATCAATTAGAGTGAAGTGACTTAATTACAGATCATTGTAATTAGTTTCCTTTTTAAAATTTCCAACTGCATCACTGAGTTACATTGCAAAATGGCAAACAAGACAGCAAATCCAAACTGAAGCTATGCATTGGTTAACTCACTCTGCCTTTCTGCACTCTATTTCTTGAATAGCTGACCCCATTAAAAATATCTACTACCCTACCTAGTATCATATAGAAAAATTGATTCAAAGAAATTCAAAGATCTGAATGTGAAAGATAAAACATTAAATCTTGTAAAAGAAACATAGGAGAATATGTTCATGATGAGGTTGGCAAAGGTTTCTGAATCAGGATACAGACAGCACCAATTATAAAGTAAAATACTGTTAATTTGATTTCATTAAAATCAACTCCTGCTCATCAAGATAAGCACCATTAAGACACTGAAAAGGCAAGTTGTGAGAAAGTGTTTGAAATTCATGTATCTGAAGATTATACATTGAAAATGTATGAGGAATTACAAATAAATATCCAACTAAAATGGGTTAAAGATTGACCGGGCACTTCTCAGAAGATTATGGGCAAATGGCAAATAAGCATATTTAAAAGATAGTCAACATAATTAGTCATCATAAAAATTAAAATTAACACCATTGTGAGATAGTATGACAAAATTTAATAAAAACTGACAATATAAAGTGTTGATGACTTGAACCTTCACCATTGTTGGGATTATGCTATCTGAATTATTTGTGTTCCCCAAATTCTTATATAGAATCCTAACTCCCAAATGTGATGGTATTAGGAGGTAGAGTCTTTCAGAGATGATTAGGTCTTAGGGTATAAGATTCATGTTCTTATAAAAGAGACCCCACAAAGATCTCTCATCCATTCCACTGTGTGAGGACTCAGCGAGAAGGTTCTCAGCGAGAACCAGGAAGAAGGCCCTCACTCTTGCTAATCCCTTTTAATTTCTAATCAATATCAGAATTTATTTAAGCAAGAATATATTATATAAATGTGTTGTGTTAGTGACTAGTTGTGTGTAATAATATGTTAGACAGTAAGAGAGATTAAGAAATCTAGAGGAAGCCTTGACCCTTAGGAATTTACATGTAACCAACTGAGTTAAATAAAAATGCAATGTTAAATGCCTAGATAAATTGTCAGGGTATATTTGCATACACCAGGCACATAGTAGTGGAAAATAAACATATGTTAAATTATTTAACTTGGATAAAAATAGAATTTATATTTTGGGACAACAAACTAAAAATCCTAAACTTAGCTCTGCCAGCAACCTGTTAAGTAACCTTTGGAAATTTATATTTTTATTTTTTTAAAGATTTTATTTATTTATTTATTTGACAGAGAGTGAGAGAGCACAAGCAGAGGGAGCAGCAGAGGGGAAGGAGAAGTAGGCTCCCTGCTGTGCAGGGAGCCTGATGCGATGCAAGGCTTGATCCCAGGACCTTGAGATCATGACCTGAGCCAAACACAGACACTTAACCAACTGAGCCACCCAGGCACCCCTATATTTTTAAACCAATTTATAAAACACATGACTTTGACTACATTGTCGTTAAGTTCCATTCCAGTTCTAAAAATTTATGCATTTTAATTAACACATTTTATATACTCCACAGAATAATTTATAGTTATGTTGTTTAACTTACATTTTCCATTCACTTTAATGCTAAGCTGCAGTGTTAATTTTATCCTTTAGGTCAAGATGTGTTCTCAGAATATAAGTTCAGCAAGATGTTATTAGCTGCTACATTTAAAAAAAAGTGTTCATAGGCTAATATATATTTATGTCTGAATTAAAAACCTTATATATAAAAAAAACCTTATATAGGTTTCTCAACTGTAGGACATTTATAGGATCCTTATTATGGTAATGTGCAATTGTATCTTCTATGGGAGAATAGAGTAAATGCATTTCCAAACGTATATGACAAGGGGCTATTTTCCCATAAAGTATTTTTTGGAAAATACCTTAACAAATAATGTTACATTTAAGGAGAAGTCAGTAGATATTCTGAACTAGAGAAATATTAAAAAGCATGATGTGATCTGTGCTTTAATAAAATCCAACATGTATGGCAAGATGTGAAGAGGGCAAAATTTAAGTGGAATTGGCAGGTAGAATGTTGCAGAGGATCAGGTTGAAATTATGAGCAGGGAACTATCAGTGGAACTACAGAGAAAAGGGCAGGTTTGAGAGACTTTTTGAGTTAAGTATTGATAAAATTGAGTAATTGAGTAAATACAGGATATAAAGAACAGAGAATTCAAGTATAGCCTGAGTGAATTACTGTGTTAGT